GACAACTAGCCATCCTCTAGACTTACTCAGTGTGTCCTGCTACAGTTTATGCTAGCTGTTGAAAATTTTCCAACCTTTTTCCCTTGTCAGATTCCATCAAATTCTAATTTGGCATATATTTCACCTCTGTATTGTCTAAGCTTTCAAAGATTGTGTTATCATTATGGCTTCTCCTTCACTTCAAAATATAACAAAATAAAAAACGTTCTGCTACTCAGAAAGAGTCAGGATATAGATGAAGTTTTCACTACAATTACATCCCACAAAAGAAATAGACCTAATAGTCAGGCTTCACAACCTGCTTGCCAGAAGCACAGTGTTTTACCTACTCATGTGAAGATGGAAAACTCCAAACTTGCTATTCTTCTTCTTGTAAGACTTGACAGACACATAACAAAACATGGGGAACAAAATACATAAAAGGCTTCCAAAGGTTGACGGTTTATTCCTAGGAAACTCGTAGGGATTCAAATATTTTCAATCTGTATGGTTCAAAAGTTGAGATGGTTTGTATCCCTGAAACAGAACTGGCATAGACACCACTGCTTGTGATCTCTGAGGCTTAGGAGCTAGCTGTTTTCACTATTTCACTATTTTTAATAGTGAAGTTGTCAAAGGACTGAAAGAACATCAGTAAGTCTAACTTTCATGAAGATGGATATATCCATTGTATGCGGCTAAATACATGCATTTCCACTGTCTCCCAAGACCTGTGCATTTGAGCGAGTAGACTGAAGAACTGCAAACTAAGCTTTTAATTTGTCTGCGCATCTTATCTGTTATATGTGAAGTTATAAATCAGTTGCATAGGACAATGTGGAGTTAAATGCCTTCAATTCTTTCCTGAAAAAAATCTGATCTGGACTCTGTATTCTAAAAGCTAAAAATACTACGTATTTTTTAAAGGAGCAGAACTGAATTAAGAAAACAATATTCAAACTCAGTCTGAAAATATTATATTATACAACAATGCAAATCAGAAAAGTCTGCAAAATTTCAGCTTCTCACAGACTCTAGAATAGCATAAATTGTTTTCTTAATGCTAAAAAGAAACAGCAGTGAAACTTTAATTTAGCCGTCATCCAAAGTCGTATCAGTAGAACAATGAAAATCAACAATATGCTTACGAGTATACACGCACACGGACAAAGCAGACTCCTTTAAAAGGATGCATATTTTAAGTATTTTTAGGAAGTTCTATCTTCCATTCACGCCACCCTACAAATGTACTCTGTTTTCTTGCCAGAATAGCTGATGCATCTTACAGTTCTACATACAATATAGACATTCAAATATATGAAGAATTAGAGGAGGGGAGGGGGATTCGATGGTTATCTACAATTGTGCAAGCACAAAAGTATTTTTTCTTTCTTTTTTAAAGGAGTTTGGTTACAGTTTGGAGATAGTTAAGAAACAAATAATTTATTGTTATATAAATCTTGTTTCATTGCTTATGGGTTTACTGATCATGCTAGTCACAATTCAAGTTTGTGTGGATAACAGAAAACGGCTGTCAAAAGCACTCCTCACATGAGTGTTCATTTATAAATCAAGTTCTCATCCTCTTTAAGCTCCTAGTGAACCTGCTACTCCTATTTTTCCCCCACTTTGGCTTTTTATCAACATAGTCTTACTTAAGAACAACACACAGAGGAGAAATAGAAATATATATTCAGATAGCTTTCTCTATTTTGCATATACTTTCCATCTAGCGTAAATGAAAAACCAAAAGGAATGCAATCATTAACTTGTTACTTCACCCATTAGGAATTTTGCTCGGAACGGTTTAGCTAGAAAGCACTTACTCCATAACAAGCATCGGAGAACCGAATACAGCACTGCAAGAGCTCAACAAACATCCCTTTACAAAGAAAGGCTACATTTGCCTACATTTTGTTCCATTCACTAATGTGCCAGTTCATAGTTTTCTTCCATGAATTATTAATGAAGCATTGTGAACAGGCAGGAGAAAAAGGAAATAAAACGTAAAATTAAGGCTTTAGTTGTTTTTTTTTCCCTTACGTGTAACATGAATTCAGATAGGAGAACTTAAGACAGCACAGACATGGGGACGGTAGTCAAAATAGTCTGTATTTAATTGTTTGGATTTCCCGAATAGGCTTGTAAATAACTTATAGTTTACAAATCTTGTAGTTTGCAGACCTGCTAAGTCATCTGATGAAAAGGAAGGAACAAATGAAACCTAAGACCTATTACCTGTACATTTTATCTTCCTGTCCATGAACTGATTAAAAAAGGCTTCTGGCATCATGGCGCCCAATGGGCAGAAGACACAATTATGCAGAGCAGCAAAATACTGCAAAAATAAGCTGGGCGAGTAATATCTGCCAAAGGCTGACATGTTTTAGTTTCCGCAGAGTTAGCAAAAAACCAGGACACTGTCCAATTCTGTTTACCAGACAATTCTGAGAAAAGTGATTTTATAAAGAAATGAAAAACAGGGCAGGGCTGTCCTTCAACTCTTGAGCATATATATATATATATGCACATACATGTGTGCATTGTGTATTTGTACAAATCAAAGTGTCATCTCATCAGCCTTAAAAAAACAAAAGGTGCAATTCTACAATATTGCCCACAGTACTGCTTTATTGCTATTGAAGCCTGTTGTACTTCAGGCTAAAAGCTCTGCAAACTGTTTGAAGATTTTTGCCATTTTAATTGTGATATTTAGGTAGAAGTCTTTTAGTACTATTCTTACATCTCGATGAAGAACATTATTAATAAAGTCATCTGCTCAGAATTTCAAATTACATATTTTCACGCACAGAGGGGTGTTAGGAGGACCTCAGCTAAACTTCCAGATGTACACTTTGAAGGGGGGAACACAGAAAACTAAATGTGTATATGATATGGCTTCCCTCTGTGATTGCTCGAAGGCCAAATTTGAGCATTCTGAAATTTGTGGTCTGGTGTCAATAACTCAAAATCTGCATCAGAATATGTGTCCCATCTCTAGAATCACTTATTTTAAAATAACTTTTTCTGATGCCTGACACATTTACTTCAGTACTCAAAAGATCAAAAGGAAAGGCTTTGCAAGTTCATCAGTGCCAATCTTGGTAGCATCTTTCAATTGACCACTTAAAGAACAAGGACAAAATACATTATAGTGAAGTAGAATGAACTCACTGTAAGGTGCTATGCAGCTTACCGAATCTCAATCCACTCTGAGAACTTATTTTATGAAAAAATAAAAGTTCATTTCACTCTAAGAAGTCTTGAAAACACTCCAGGCAGCAGCAGATCTTTGCTTCTGTTCGTAGGTCCAAGCTGAAAAACTCATCTGTTTGGTCTCATCTTTGTACTAAATTCATGGTGATCTTAAATTTTTGTTACTGTGTATTTTGCATCAATAATGTAGCAACAATTCCCAAAGTTTTGTACTGCATTTCTTCTATTCTACCTATACTCTTAGGCTACATACTGCTATTCTTCGAACTAGTAAGTTATCCAATCAAAAATACTTCCCCTCAAATCCACAGGCAACCATGTCCAAATCAATGGCAACAGAGGCCTGCTCAAAATTTGATCGCATGTATTCTTTGTGAGTGTGAATACCCCTAAGAGCTTTGCACCAGAGACTCCTATACGGCTAGCTTTACCTATCTGCAAACTGTATTATATATTTTCCAATAAAGGTTTTCCGGTAAAAAAGTACAAATAGGAGCCTGAACTACTGACACCTTGTGACAGATTAAAAGGAGAAACATAACATTTTTTGCGGACACATTCTGACCTAAAGTGATTTCCATAACTTTATAGTCCTATATGCACCTATGGATATGAGCAATGTACAAAATGTAAGTACCAGAAGTGTCATACTTAAGTACAGTGTCATACTTAGGTAGCAGAAAGGGACGGAGGCCCCAGAGGTTCAATGGAGGATGAACAGGAGGCATCCCTACCACAGAGTGAATGACTCTGCTTAAAATCCTCCTGAAACACAACCTCCACAAATTACCAGAACTGGTTCCACAGTGTTAGCAAGTGGCTGCGAAACCCTTCTCTAATCTCTAGAAAACTTTCAAGGAAAAAAGACTGTAGCAGTCACCAAAGCTCCTCAGCGTAAGGATGGTGTGTTTTTTAAGTACAGTTAGAGCGTACATTGTGGTGGGAACTCTTCCAGTGGATTTTGCTTTAATACATGCTCAAACGTGGCCTACCAGTATTTGCTGACTTCTCCAACTTCAGGCCTCAGCTGGATGTAAATTTTGTTGCTTTTTTGATCTACTATGCTACTGAGAAGGACATTCCTCTCTCCCAAAATTAATGTGACTTTTGAAGATTTGTGCATACCAAAGCTTCACTCTCTGCCCAAGTGGGGCCAGCATATACACCACCATGAGCAAATACATAAAGGTAAAAACAACTTCATTTTACGCTCTGTCTAGCAGCGACAAGCAGAAAGGCAGAGACACAAAGGGAAGGACGCTACCCTTTTTCTCATCACCTACGCCCCGCTATTTGCAGCCTGCCAGGTATGCCGTTTAATGCAAATCAACACCCAACACGCCGTTAAGGGCAACGTGGCTCCAATTTTACCTAACTAAATTAAAAGCCTCTCTTGCGCAGATTAGTGCAAGTGTCTACATTTTCATCACTGTATCAAATTTCCCCTTTTAAATCACAAGGAAAGCTGCTCAGGTGAGGGCTGAGAGCCTTATTTAATTACGAGTTGTTGTTCAACTGCGGCAGTCGCCCTGGCAGGAGTGGGGGAGGCCACACAGACAGCAATGGCTGTCCTTGCCTCCTCCTCCCAGCCCTCCAGAGGGTCTCTTTATTGCAGGACAGTTAAACACAACGAGTCCTCCTGCCTTGTTCACAGGCAGCCACGATTAGGAGGACGGATGTGGCTGAGGTCCTTATGCAGATACCCTCCTGCTACTAAAACAGTGGGGAATCCACCACGGAAACATCATGCACTTTCCTCAAAAGAACTCCAAAATAGCTCCTCGTAAAACAAAAGCCAGCCTTACCTGTGACTGGGAGCCGTGCCTGCAAGATGGCAAAGATCACGATCCTCCTCCACTTCATCTTGCTCTCCCGGAGGGTGCTGGGGAGCCGGAGGCCGCGAGGAGAGAAGGAGAAGAGGCACCTCCACGGGCTCTCCTCGTCTGCTGGCCCCGCAGGAAGCTCTCACCTCCTTTGAGGGCTTTCGGAGTCCACCTGCTGGCAGTGCTGCCGAAGCACGCGCCTTCCTCTGCCTCGCAGCCAGGCAGCCTCTGAGGTCTGGGGTTTACATTCTTGGTATTGATGTTCGGGGTTTCCTTTCCTATTTTTTTCTTTCTTTTCCTCTTTGCAAGATGGCTTCTTGGTGGTTTTTTTTTTTTCAGTTTGTCTGATGATTCCTAGGTCATCCAGGTCAGCAAATCTCTACAAGGGGTCTAGAAAATGTATCTCATATGAAATCTGGCCTGACTTCAAAAGGGACACTATATAACTATGCCCAGTGTGCAGTATGGCCTGAATAGAAGTTTAAAATTATAAGTTATGGTCAATCTTGAACAAGTAGCTGGCTAAACTAATAAAGATATAAATTTCATTTCTAAATCTAACTGAAACATGGCCTTACCATGAGGAACTGAAAGCAGCTGCACTCTCAGGGCTGTGGGGTGGCCAGCATCAGGGAGAGCTGGACTCTGCCCGTCCTTGCAGCCAGTGTCCACAGGACATGAAACACCAGCACAACTGGCTCTGCCTGGCTCATTTCAGTCATACCTGTCTATGAAATGGAGATGCCTTTTGATGTGAACACACCACATCTTTGTATTTTGAAAGGGTGTCAGTGTGTGCAGAGCTCTGGAGCCATTTTGTCCTCTGAGCCACTGCAGCCCGCAGGGAGGAGAGCCTGTGTCATCTCTGCGGGAGAGCGCAGCGTGCATTTCCTCCTCGCTCGGCTTGAAACAGAAAGCTTGGCAGCCTCTAGCTATGCATGCCACTCCTACCTACTGAGTGGGCCACGGGCTTCAACCGTCTTGCTGCTTGAAGCAGCCCTCTATCGACAGATCCCTAGGCAGAATGGCACACCCCAAGAGCAGGATGAACATTTTGAAGGTTGCTGCGGTCTGGGAGATGACAAGCCTTTTCAGCCCCATGTTGTAGGCTTGCCTGTTAAGACAGTCCTCAGAGCGACACAAACCCGAGCAGGTCTGCCCGGCAGCTCGGCTGGTGAAGCCTGGTTTCCCACAGGTCCACATTCTCCATCCAGCAGGAGACTGCAGTCCCTCCCATGTTGCCCTAAACCCCTGCCACCCCCTTGGCTCTCCTGCCTCTCTGTGGGACCAGGTGGCTGGGCACACAGCCCCAGGTAGCACACGTACATGCTGACTGACTAACCCCGCAGCCCAGTGTGAAAGTGAAAATGCCCCAGTTTTTCTGCTGCACTGAGAGGATGAATAAGATCGCTGCAGCTAGCTACACAAAACCATGAGTAGGAACAGGTTAGGTTTGAGCCTTCTTTGTTTAGCTGAATTGATGTTGACCCCCCAGGTCAAAAGCGGTTGGGGTGGTGGTGAGCGGCAGGCTGAGCCAGGAGAATCGCAATGCTTGTTTCCTTACAAGTCAAACTAGTGATCACATCAGGCAGTACTAAAGCAGCGCTCCGCAGGCAGCAGTAGATAATCACACAACCAATAAGCACACTTTAGCAGTAACCCAGTAAATGTCACCCAGGAGAATGTTTAGCACTATGAGGTGGAAAGACACAAGAAACTGATTTGCATCAACTGGATTAAATCATTTCATTATGCTTTTACCTGAGGACCTCAACATGCTTTTCAAATTAGCCTTACTAAAGCCAGGGTAGTTAAGCTTTTACAGGTAACGAAATTAAGTCATAAGGGAGACACGAAAAACAAGGCACTAGAACTCAAAGAGAACCAGGAATCAGGGACACCTGGGAGTTGTTTGGGTTTGTGGTTGGGTTTTTTTGGTGCATTGGTTTTCTTTATTAAAAACAAACAAAACCCAAGCCAACTACCACAGAATGTTTAAATGCATGAGAAAAAAGCAAGGGGAGAATCAAAGTGTGGTTAGGGGTATCTCCTCCTCAACATTTCTCAATGCTTTATTATTATTATTATTATTATTACTAAGAAGCAGCAGCAGCTAATAAAAGGATTTATTTAAGGCAATAGAGGGGAGAAGAAAATCAGCATAATGAAATTAAATTAAGAAAGGTGAAATCTGGAGTTTTAGAAAAATCTTCCTGAGAAGGAGATATTAGACAGAAGTAATTTCTCCAACAAAGTGTTAGGGCATTTATATGAAAATCATACCACATGACACAGTGATGCCAACTCTCACTTTGTAAGAAATCTCACATTGTTTTTCCCTTTCCAAATGTGAACAAATAAAAATTTTTACTTTTAGTAACAGAAATAAAAAGTACATTTTAGACACCTGTGAATTAGAAAAGTTTGAAAACATGACTTAGATGCACCTTAAAACCTGAAACTCAGCCTACCCCCCATCAAAATACAACTGACTCAACAGAAGGTTGCTGAGTGTTTACAATAGTAATACTATTAATACACTTCAGGATCAGAGCTTAGGCTGGGAGGAATCGCGAGTATCTCAATGAATAAATTGTTTTCCATTTCTAATTCTTATAAAAGAAAAAGAAAGAGGAATGTGCACCCCCAGCAGGTACAAGAACAGGACAGGTGATAATTATTTCCCAACAGTATAACGACAACTAGCAGGGTGAGAGTTCTTGGAAGAAGGGGACCAAGAAATTCGTCACCTTGCTGCCTGGAGTAAGGAAGGCTGATACATTGCCAAAACAGTACTATACTTTTATTTAATAATTATTATATATTGTGCCAGTCAATATCAGAACTATTAGGCACTAGTACTACTCTAGCACGCAAAACCTAGTGCTTCATGCCATTCTCTGATACTTAGGCAGTACTGCTGAGCCTCTGGTCTCCCCTGGCCTTGGGGAGGATTTCCTTTGTGACTCTTCTACACCAAAAGCTGCAACAGGAGGCTGGAGATGGGCTCTGACTCACCGCTACGCAGAAGGCAAAGCACAGCCTGTAAGAGCCGCCATACATTGTACCTGAAAGAGGTGTCATTAATCCCAGAAATGGCTGTGCTTGGGTACATATTTGGTCTATATTCCAACATGAGCCAGATAAAGCCCTTTCTACCCACTTCTCCGTGGACAAAAGATTGGCTGAAACAAGGAACTAGTGAGAGGAAAAAGAACCCTGCAGGCTGCCTAAATCTCACTGATGCCTTATCCAAAAGCTAAAATAATATCATACTAGTTATTGATATTTTGGGGTAACAGTATTTTCAGAGGAGCAAATGGCACTGCTCATCACTATTCCGCTGACCCCTGTCTCCTCATGTTATTGATCATAGCTTCTCCCTCCAGCAGAAAGCCAGCAAATTATCACTTTGAATAAAGAGTTAAGGCCAAAGGTAAGGAAAAGGAATGAAGAGCTGTATAAGAAAGGGAGATTAATGGCAACAGTAGGCACACTGGGAGAACAGCAGTTGGGCCAGTGTGTTTTGATGTCTAGATAGGGAAAGGTCAGAGAAATAGAGTATATGGACTTCATTTAGAAGTGTGGATAGAGTCAGAAAAAGGCTTTGCATGACAGTGCTCCTAGAAATTCTCTCCTCCCCATCCCTCAGCTTTTGAAATAAGGCAAGCTTATCATTATAATCTAAATACAATGAAAGTATACAAAAGAGCAATCATGCTTGTATTGTGAGTTATTCTCATAAGCACGGCATGGGAGATGCAAATCACATGCAGTCGAGGAGTACAGGAAAAGATAAAGGGGAAGTGGTCTCTTCTCTAAGGAAAAAGCTTTTCTGTGTTCATACAGCTTGCAATTACACGATGAGGAATGATTTGCTTAGAGTGTCGCTTTCTTTTCAGCCTATTTGGTCTTTGCATCTCTAGGAACTACCTAGCACAGTAAAAACTTCAGCACCTCCTGCCCACGTTATGCATCAAGCAGTCTCATATATGCATTTTTACCAAACGTTTAAACCATACTGATGTTTCAGTCAGATTGTAAGAACTTTGTTAACACTGGACTAGAAATGAATGCCAACACTAGTTCAGCCGAACCAGCAGCTATTTTTCTCAATACAGACAAGGCCACAGTGGAGACATAAAACCTTCCCTGTTGGGTTAAGAAAAGCCCTCAGCTAAACTTGACTTTCTATCTAAACATTCGGGTGAAGGAAAGTGTACTTCAAGTATTACATGCACTGGGAAGACTACAAGATTTGATCTATGGCTCCTGAAACGGAATGGGTCAGGGAACTTTAGTGGTCCTCAAGTACAACTCAGTTGCGTTTAACGCTGGTTAAGGTGCAGCTCATTATCTGTAAGGGTAACATCTTTCATAAAATAGACAAGGTATACATTCAATTGGTTCTGTGCATCAATATGCCATTCTTCCTCTGGACACAAGAGATCCTGGAGCAGCTTTAATGCAAGGGGCTGATTCATGCCCAGAAGCACCCCCTTTTCATGCTTATCGGTTACACTTTGACTGTAGTATTTAAAAAAAAAAAAAAAAAGAAAAAGAAAAAAAAAGCAGGGTTTGCAGTTTTCACAGGAAATAAATGAAAACTAAAAACCAAATCCACACCACAGTCAAGCTGTGGATTAAAAAAATAACTACACACTGCCCTCTGGCTCATGTATTGCTACCACAGAGAGATTGTCTGTAATCATCAGCACAGACTGCTGGGACTGAGAACAGTTCAAAAGTTCTCTTAAGCCTATTTGATACAGTTAGTACTTGCAGGCAAAACTAATTCCTACATCACCTGATGATGGAGGAATTGGCCAACTTTTAGAGACAGGAGAATCCAGACAGACTGCAGAGCCTGGCCCCTGATCCGGCAGGGAGTGACAGTTGTAGTGCCAGAACCAACTCAACAAGTATTAAAATAATTTTTGGAGATGTTCAGACAAAGATAACTGGTGTTAAATAAGAAATAATTTTCTCTGGTGAGCAAGCCGTAGCCCCCAGCAAGGCATGTCATTTGTGCATAGACTA